CAGAGCCCCCCGGTCCACCCCTGACCCTGCACTTGGCAGAGGAGCAGCCGGGGCGAGCGGGGCTGGGGCTTTGCAGGTGATCCACCGCCTGCCCATGCCCAACGTGGGGGACGAGCTGCACCACTCGGGGTGGAATACCTGCAGCAGCTGCTTCGGGGATGCCACCAAGAAGCGCAACCGCCTCATCCTCCCCAGCTTCATCTCCTCCCGCATCTACGTGGTGGACGTGGGAACCGACCCACGAGCTCCCAGGCTTTTCAAGGTACCTTTAATACACCTTTAAAGGTGAAAAGACTGGGATCGTGGGGACAGTTTGGCACAGAGGCTCTTGGGGTACATCCAAGAGCTTTGCAAGACCCTGATGTCCAGAGCATGGTTTGGGAAGGCCATGGAAGGTGTTTGTTCTCCTGCAAGCACTGAGTTCTCCATCCAGCCCCGTGCAGGAGGGCGCCGGGTCCAGGCACAGCGCTGTCTGTCAGGTTCACAGCCCATGTCTTGCCTGCAGCATGTGTCTCTGAAGAAGCACCAGGCATCTGTGTGCAGTTTGCCCCCGGAAGGGTGTGTGATGGGGATGCGGGACCGTGCTGGCTGCCTGGCAAATCCCATCCTGAGGTCAGGCAGGAGCTGCCCGGCCACGCCACGGGGTAACCCTGGGCTGTGAACCTGCGTTCAGCGCAGCACTGGACATCCTTCTTAGCTGGGACAGCCCAGGCCGAGGACTTGATGGTGCCTGTGAACTCCCGGCAGGTTGTCAACCCAGAGGACGTGTTCTGGAAGTGCAGCCTGGGCTACCCCCACACCTCCCACTGCCTGGGCAGTGGTGAAATCATGATCAGCACCCTGGGAGACCCGGCCGGCAGCGGGAAAGGTACCTCAGGCTCCCCAGGGAGAGGGTCTGGACAGGAGGAACCATCCCCACATCCAGGGCTGTCCTGGAGGCTTCATCCCATTCTGCAGCGGGTTGATACATCTGTTGTTGCTTGTTTTATAACGTGGGAACTGCTAATCTGGATGATTTCCTCACTACCCGCGTGGTTTTGTTTTCTCATCAGGTGGCTTTATTCTGCTGGATGGAGAGACCTTTGAGATCAAGGGGAACTGGGAGAAAGGGGACAAGATCCCTGCAATGGGTTATGACTTCTGGTACCAGCCACGCCATAATGTCCTGATCAGCACTGAATGGGGAATCCCAAAATGCCTGGGATATGGATTTGACCCAACTGATCTGAAGAAAGGTAAGAAAACAGTTGTCTAAAAGCCATGGGAGAGAGATGCTGAGCAGGGCTGCAAGAAGGCCACATTTCAACCCTCTTCTGCTGCTATTTGGAAGGCAACAGGCAGACCCAACCCTGCTACTGTGAACACACTTCAGATGCAGGCACCTGTCCTGGGTTAGGCTGTAGCAGTTGTTTTCTCCTTCTCAGTAGCTGGTGCAGTGCTGTGTTTGTGACTTTAGCCTGGGAACAACGCTGATAACACCGATGGTTTTAGTTGTGGCTCAGTGATGTTTACTCTGACCAAGGACTTTCTCAGTCTCATGCTCTGCCAGGGAGGAGGGGAAGCCGGGAGG